TTTTGAAAAAAAAAAAAAAGCGATCTTAGTAAATTCTGTTAAATACAGTTTCTCCAGAGATGCAATAATATTAACATATAGTCTATATTCATAAATAAGATTTCACAGTCAGCTGCGGTTTTTATTCAATAAAATCTTAACAGTAAACACAGAAAAGAAAATGTAAATATTACTGTATATTCCTCCCACAACCAAGCTCCTTGCAGACTCATAAGCATTGTTTATTACAGGAAGGTTTACGCATTTTGGATCTGCTCAAGGTAGTTTGCACGACATCTCCCAGGCTGGTTCTGGCACTAGTTGTTGGACTAAAGATTACAGATAACATTGTCTTGAATTCTTTCTATGCTTAGCAGTTTTCTTCACTGAAGAGACAGGTGTGGATGTATCCATCTCTATTCTATTCTAATGCCCTTGAGGTGGGAAAAAAAACTAGGTATTTTAAGAGACAACAGAATGGAGGATGGCAATAAAAGCCTTACTATGGCTTTATGGGGTAGTACCCTCTCTCTCCTCTCCCTGCTGCCCCCATTCCAAATGCAGAACATACTCAGCAGAGAGAAGAAAATAAAAAGATTGGGAATGTGTTTCTGCAATTTCCTTACCCTCATTCAAGAGACATCTTAGCCAAATGTTGGTTACCTGAAACAAGAAAACGGTTGCTGAGCCCTACAGAAATAAGATCTGGCTTCCAACTCCGTATCCCATAGGAAGGACCTACAGAGGTCAGAAGACAGAGCTGAGAACAATGAACAGGACTGGGAAAAAATTAACTCCCTGGCGAAAGAAGAAGACAGGCCCAGGTGCCCAGTAATGAGTCTGTGGTGGAGGCAGACCCCTCCCTCCTTCCTCCGTATAGTCTGTGCCTTTTACCAAGTTTCAGAACAACTCAGAGGCATTACCCAGGGAACTCCTAAGGTGACGGAGACTCCAAATCATGGATCTTCACTATGCGTGGCTGTGAGGATCAAGAGACTATCCCACAAGCTTTGTTCTCCTACCCTCTTCTAGGTCGGTGCAAACCATGAGGTGAGGCTCCCCCAGGTCAGCACGCACACCTCCACACAGGTGTTAAGTAAACGCCCCACCAGGGTTATTTGAACTGGGCACGGCACACCTGAGGCCTGAGCCCACCTACTTACAAGACAGGTGTAGCTCACTCGTCCAAATCATCGATTACAAGGAAGGAAGTTTTTGTTTCTGCTACTCACAAGACCTTTCATGAAAGCTTGCCGCCTGGACAGGTTCATGTCTGGGCGACAACTGTCATTATATTCACAGTGAAAAAGTTGAGGTGACACTGTCTCTATTTTAATATTCGTTTAACTTTGCCTGTGCTATGAATGCCTGATCTAAACACAACATTCTAATTATTTGGTAATAAACAAAGGATATGCAAAGTATATCGTTTTTATTTTCATTTTCTGCTCACACTTGCAGATCAGTTAGTTTTGAAAAGATATTATCAAAAATAGCATTAAAACTTTAGTCAACCATAAGAAAAGGCATCAGAATAAAAAAATAGTCATCACTAGCCTATATGGCTTCTTTTATGAATTAATTAGGAAACGTTGTTATTACCATAGAATCAGTGGTCGTAGAAACAGCTAGTGTTCTTATGCGGTGATCACTGTGATGTGTTTACATGGACATTCCCATCTAACTCACACAGCCGCCCAGTGAGGTGCATACTGCAACTGCCTCACCATTCAGGTGAGGAAAGGGAGACCCAAGAATTATTCTGAACACGGTCTTTTTAATTGTAACTCCATAGGCAAATGTGCACAGAACTTGAAAAACTTCTGATCTCTAACCTAGGTCACGTTCATTAAGAACTCAATTTATCCTTTCTGAAAAGAACCATATTTTTACTCACCAGTCGCCACAGAATCCCATTAAAATACAAATCAAAAAATCATAAAAACTCTCAGAATCCACAGCACCAGACCCGGACCTGTGAGCAGCAGCAACTCGCTTCTCCACAGGACTGGCTGAGATTTAATCTCCCTGAAGACCTCAGCATCTGCTCGGGGGCTCTGCAGGCCTCACTGTTTACCTGGGAACAAACCAGTCACGACACCTTTGCACCCCTCCGCTGAAACAATCAGTTTACTCATCACCACACAGAGCTAGAAAAGAGAAATAATACACCCGGGACTTGAAAGGCTGGGATCTACAGACTACAAAAGTTGCGAAGAGAAACGGCAGGAAAACAAACCCTGAGGACAGCACACTGCAGGGCGGAGGTCGGGAGTCAACGGCCCCCAACCCATTCTCATGTTCTACAACAACAGCAACACCAAGGCTGGTCCTCAGCCATTTGTGAAAGGATGCGGCAGAGACTAATTACATTATATTCTGTAATCCTCAGATCTTAGAGCAGTGGTTTTCAACCTATAGGTCATGACCCCTTTCACAAACCTCCATCTCCAAAACTACGATGATTCATAACAGTAGCGAAATTATAGTTATGAAGTGGCAATGAAAATAATGTTATGGTTGGGGTCACCACAACGTGAGGAACTGTACTAAATGGTCACAGCTTTAGGAAGACTGAGAAGCACTACCTCAGACTATTCTTATCTTGGAAAAGGTGATTAATATTTCATATCCTACATGAAAGGTGACTTTTTAATATATTTATTCTCGTCAGGATGGTTACAGTGAATAAATATAGTAAGTGATCTTTTCCATTTCATAGTAGTTCATTATTAATACAATTCTCACTTGAATTCTCTCTGACCTTGAACCCACTCAGTAGAAAAGAAGGCCTGGTTAATTGAGCAAAGTTGAAAACTCATACATACCAGAGGTGCAAAGCAAAACCAGGCTCTCTGACTCAGTGTGTCCTAAGAAGTCCTAGAGGGAATCCATCCCATATGCTTCAACAAATTTTCATATTCCCTTTCTGGGATTTATACTAGCTCTCAACACCAGGCTTAAAAATTTCAAGTAGGCTGGATATAAAATTTTCTAGAGATATTTACTGTCAGTGGTTATGCTACCCTACACTGGGGCAAGAGTAAAATTATAATCTGAAATAACCGACCGTTTGGAAGGCTGTCAGAGTTGGGAAGCGGAACATTGCTGCAACAGGAAATGTAATTCCAATGACTCTGTCTAAAGAAAGACTTGATTCATTTTCTGAAGTACTCTTTGAAAGCACATGGGAAGTGAATCCTAAAGCAAGGACCGACAGCCATTGCCTCTGAGTATATGACAGTATTGTGGTTTCATAAACTTAGGTTAAACAAGATGGCCCAGTTGTGATCTGGGTTACGGGGAAGGATGGTGTATACAGTAGGGGTGACCTCAGAGACCTTTTAAAATCATTGGATATAAGAATAAGACTCCTGGAAACTTAAGAAATGTTGCTTTAGGAATATTCTTAGGCCCCAAATTAAAATACCCAGAGACTATGGCAATCAGCACAACAAACACTCATTTGAAGTTTATAAGTCTGTAATTCCGTATCCCTTTCTCTTGTAGTGGTAGCAAAGGGAGAAAATGTTGGTGTCTGTGGTACTCTTTGCAAAACCACAGTGTGTTATGGGATTGCTTTATACATATTAAAAGACTTGTGAGCCTTTAAACTGGCTAACTTTTTCATAATAAGATCATAAAGTAAAATTTATTTTAACTATCTTGAGGAGGTAGGAAACCAGACATGGTTTGAGAGATGATAGTTCTACATGATTGACATTTCTCTTTTTGTTAACATTAATACATTTCACCATGGAAAGGGTCCTTCAGTGTGTCACATACAGTCTGAAAAATATTGTATTTCACAATCATTTAGATTGTGGATATATGGTGGATTTGGGGTCTATAAACCAAGACAGAGAAGACTTGGTTCAAAGGGACACAAGTTCTTGGCAAGAAAAGTGACACCGTAGTTATCTTTTTTAAAATAAATTTAGGTAAACTAAAAATGTGCCAAGGTCCCTTTCTATTTTCACAGTGAATGAATAATGCTTTTCTTTCTGAATAGAAAACTTGGTAACCTTTCCCTTTTCAGAATACCACAAGAAACCAAGTTAAGACGTCTCCCAAATATTCTCCTACGCTCTAAACTTAGGAGTAGCTATTGCTGAAGATAAAGTGAGAGATGACTTTAATCCCTGGCAGGGTGTCTGAGTGGCAAGGTTATCTGTGGCATGTGACAGCCCTGGCACGGGATCACAGTGATCTCCCAGAGAATGTCCTGAGGATCACTCTCTTCAGTGAGTGCTCTGAAGATTCATTGCGGCTAGGCTCTTCCTGGTCTTACACTGGCCAGTTAACACTGCTGGCTCTCCCAGGCTTACCCTGTTAGCTTCTACTGCTAAACTTCAATACCATTTTGAATTCCTCACTGTGCATCTCTGTGTGAAGAGAAAAAACATTCAGAAGGGCTCTTTAAAAGGAGAAACTGTTAAAAGGAATACCCAGAAAGAAGTTCGTTCCATCAGTGTGTGTTGTCAACTTTTCATGATCAGTAAACGCAGAAAAACAATGTAAATGCCACACTTGGTTGAGACATGAGTAAACATCACATTATACGATGACCACAAAAAGACAGGAAAATGCAAAGGAGAGGGAGAGAAGCAGCACACACAGCAAGAGAATTACCACAATCAATTTCCCTCCGACTTGCCCAACCACACTGATTCTTACACAGCTTTCTATACAACACATCAGTCACCATGGATGGTCCTGAAACAGCCAGCTCTTTTTATCAGTTGGGTTTCCTAGAAAGATGGCCTAGGGTTGAACACCATTTTCAAGGTCTATTAAAAGATAAGAATTGAGGCTGGAGAGACGGCTCAGGGCTGGTAGCATCGTTGCTCTTACAGAGGACCCAGGTTTGATTCCCAGCACATACAGGGCAGCTCACAAGCAACTGCAATTCCGGGTCTGGGAACCCAATGCCCTCTTCTGTCCTAAGTGAGCACCTGGCAGGGACACGATCCACATAAAATAAATAAATCTTTAAACAGACAATAAGTTACGTGACTCACTGAACACATCTCCTCTGGGTTTCTGAGGATCCGTCTGTATCCCATTGTCGACCGTAGTCCCCGGAGCAGGTGCTAGAGTTGTCGGTCTGGTGGACGGCCTTTCCGGGGTTGGTGGCGGTGGGGTTGTCCTGAGCTCTGTTGGGAGGGGTGGTGGGGGTGGTGGAGTAGGCTGTGGCGTTGGATTTGGTGTAGGTCTTGTTGTTGGCCTGTAAGTGGGCCTGTGGGTGATGACAGGAGGAATATACGGTGTCTTCAGGGGCCATCTCGTACTTGCAGCATCAGGAATCCTATTAACATGTCCTCCATCACCCTTTCCGGTGGTACCATTTCTCTCTGGCACATGAACTGGGCCTGAAGGCTCGATCATGACCTTGGGAATATCTGAAGAAAAATTCAAAGATTAAAATAGTATGAAAATATCCCTCTCTAAAAAAGTACAGCAGGAAACTGCAAACATACACATGCACAGAAACACCTCATGCTAACTAGTCCTATTTTTTACATTCAGCATATTCTTGTCTATAAGAAGTCACACTATTTTCTGAATATCTGAATAACAAATGTGTGTGTGTGTGTGTGTGTGTTTTAGGATACATGCAAAAATATATTGGTGTTTCTATAATGAATATGTATTATTTGAGGTGCAAAAATGTTTCCAATATTTATAAAGCAATAGTAACAGAAATCAGTATTTTTCCAAATGTGGAAAGATTACATTTTTGTGAGAAATGCAGTGTGTGTTGTTTCCCTGCATGAGTTATGTAACCATGCTTAAAACTCTACAAACTAGGCGGATACTTCCTCACCTATACTTTAGATGCATTTTACATGTGCAAAAATTAGTTTTTTTTTTTTGGTTTTATGAGACAGGGTTTCTCTGTATTGTTTTGGAGGCTGTCGGTCCAGCCCGGCCTCGAACTCACAGAGATCCGCCTGCCTCTGCCTCCTGAGTGCTGGGATTAAAGGCATGTGCCACCACCGTCCAGCAAAAATTAGTTTTATAGTTGATTTTTCTTCATATTTACTAATTTACATTTGCTTTATAAAAAGAGATTTTCTGAAGTTAATAAAAATCATCTATGGAAAATTTTCCATTGATAATCTTCACCAAAAGGAATCAGTATTTAATCCGTCTAGAAAGATATATTCCAGAGTAGGAATGACTTCACAACTCTTCAAAAACCCGTTAATCCACAGGATTTTATGTCCTGTGGTTTTTCAGTAAAAATTCTACTCAGGAAAATTTTTAAAAAGTATCTAGTGTTGCATGAAATGTGTGGTAAATTATGGCATCTGGTTGGTTTGACAAATTTTCATCTTCAAGAGCACGCATTTTTCATGTTTGTCTAGTAACCCACTACTCCAAAGACAACTTAGAAAAATTTAAAAGCAAAGCAGTTTTAAATGCAGGGAAAATAAGTACTGGAATTATTCTCAGTAGAAAGCAAACATGTAGACTACATCCCAACTATCATAATGCAATGCTAACAATGGATGTTTATTTCAGATTCAACAAACTCCAATTCCCAGGGAGGAGCCCGTCCCTTCCTTCTAGCTGAAGGAAGCAACTCCTAGATTGTACTCACAAAATTCTAAGGCATTTAGTGCTAGAAAGCAGTAGTGAGTCTTTTTCTAAGTGATTTTACTGTGTATAGGTCAGGTTGATGTTAGCAGGTTTGGAAACCATGTCTTCAACAACCACTGCATCCCCCACCCTCCTTAGCAATGGTCTTTATGCAACCCCATATTTCCTGAAGACCCGAGAGTCAGGGGCAGGGTTTACTCACACACACAGTTCAGTCCATCACCCTCGTATCCATCTTTGCATGTACACTTGTAGGACCCATGCATGTTGTAACACCGAGCAGAGCTGCTGCACTGGTGCTGCCCGAGGGTGCACTCGTCAATGTCTGCATCGGGGCAGAAAAGCAAGCGGCGGTAAATGCGATGACACGAAATGTACACCGCGACAGAGGGCCACACAAAGCGGCAATGACCAGAAGGGATGCAGGGTGGGTGGTTCCAGAATGGCTCTGCTCACTTAATGCCTGTAGCCTCCCCTGTCCCGGACAGTTCAGCTATTACCACAGCTGGAGACTCCTCCATGCTATGGGAAGAAAGTATATACAGGAATGGGAGAGTTTCATTACCGTGACATTGATATTTGCCTCCAATGTACATGAGGTCAAAACCAGCATGACACTTGCAGATGTAACTCCCAAACGTGTTGACACATTGCCTAAATCGAGGGCAGGAGACTCTTCCAGTAGCACATTCATCAATATCTAGAAACGTAAGGTAATTGCATCTTAAGAGCAAAGACAGGCGTGTCATCCTAACTGGTATTCCCACCCCCACCGGCCACCCCTGTAACAGACAGGAACTCCACATCTTCAGCATTGGACTCATCCTCCCAAACCAAGCTCTTCCTCCCTCACACCCAACATCAGTAGCTACTATACTACTTAGCTGCTTGAATTAGAAGCATGCATGCTAAAGCTCCCGCCAACAACTCCTAAACTACCCAGTCCTGTTATTTCTACCTCTACGAACTTACTGGAGTCTGTCTAGCACCCTCCACCACCCAATTCCTACCCACCATCTCCTGCTTTAGACCGAGACAGGAAGTCATGAAACTGGGATTTTTGATGCCAATCTTATCACCTTCAAATCACTTCACCTCTTGGCAGGTTCTTTAATTAGAAAAAATATTTTGTATGCATGGCTGTTTTGACTGCATATAGATATATGTACCATGTGCATGCCTGGTGCCTGAGGTGGCCAGAGGGGGAAGGATCCCCTAAACTGGAGTTACAGATGTTTGTGAGCTGTATTGTGACTGCTGGGGAATTCTGGAAGAGTAGCCAGCTCTCTTAGCTGTCCACCTCTCCAGGCCCTGGGCAGGGTCTTTATATATCTAATGACCCAGGTCTATCTTTAGGACTTCCCTAATAGTTATTAATAACTACTCCCTAATTATTATTCCCTACTGATTATTGTTTCTGGTTTTGCTTCACTTACTACCTTATGCTAGCACTTAGCATGGTTAGTGATGTTATTAAGTATTAATTTATTTTCTGTCTTCCCCTTAGATGGTCAACTTCTTGAGGACCAAAACTTCATGTGTTTTGTTCACTGCCACACACCCAGCACTTAGCAGTGCCTCGAATGCAGCAACCACTTGGTAAATGGGCCTTCGTTAGGGAATGGCTCCATGCGGGGCTCCCCACATGCTGGGGACTGTTGAGTTCCTCTGAGCTCTCTGAACACAATGCTCTCATTCAATCCTCACAGTGGCTCTATGCGGTATTATTTCCACTTTAAGGAAAGAGAGACCTAAGCTCAAAGGAAGGAAGTTCTTTCCCTAAGATTACATAGCAAGTGTGCAGGTCAGGCAGGTTCAGAAAGCCCAAACTCTTGCCATAATCTATACTGCCATCTCAATGTTCTAGAAAAATGCTGTGGTACAACATATGTGATAACATAGGCTTGGTGACCTGTTCAGCTCCACCGCTCCCTTCTCTCTAGATCACAGAAACTGAGATTCACTTCTCCTGAACACAGCACTGTTGTACTTCAGCGTTTTTGCACACTTGGTTTCCACTGTATGATGCTTGCCCTGTCCCTCGGGTTTCAAAATCAAGATTGTGTTAATCCATTCACAGAAGCCCTCTTCTAAAATATCTGATATCTTCTAGCAGGTAGCTGTGTATCTGACTAAGTGACTGCCTTTCCCCTTATACCTTCCGCTGTGTCCCTCAACCCCACAATACCTACTGGCAGACGTTTGGTGGCTGAACTCACCCACACAGGTCCTCCCATCAGGAGCTAGCTGCAGGCCAGGGGAAGGACACTGGCAACGGATCTGTCCTTTGACAACATCACAGCCATACTGACAGTTTGCCATGGAACATGACAGGGCACCTGGAAAGAGAGTGACTGCTTGTCCCCAAGAGGTAGAAAGCACCTGTAACTTAAGCACTGTTTTCACATGTCCTTTAATTAGTGGCACCGACTCAACAATGGGGAGTCAATTAACCAACATCCTAAGAAGGGTGAAACAGGGATAAAGGATGTTCTCCAGTGTGGGATGGTTGAGAAGTGGTCCTGTTCCATCATCACCTGGAGAAGCCCTTTAATGTTTTCGAGGACTGGCAGGTAGGGCAAAAGCTTTTTCTGACACGTATCATCCAGGTAGTACTAAGGCGTTTCTCCAGATTACTTAAGTTAAATGCCATTCCTAACTAAAATATCCTATTATCTGTCTCAGCTACACATTGAAATTTTCTATAGGACAAGAGAGGATTTCCTAGTGACTCCCGTAATGTTAGGGGACTCTGGAATCATTGTCAAATGCAATTAAAGATGTATTTCCCCCAGATAAAAGTTCCAGTGATTCGTCTGTATAACACTAAATAGAAATAGTTTCTATTATTTTTATATAAAATTCATCTTAGTTAATTGGTTGTTAGGTAACAGTAAAAGTCAGGCCACTCCTTGCTGATTATCATTGAACTCAAGTTCAATTCAATTTCCAGCCTACAGAGAATTTTAGGGGAGTTCCCATCTTAAAAACACAATCAAGTGGTAGCAGGAAGCACCATACGAGTCTCTTAAAAAGATACATGTAGATCGACCCTCTTGGGCCTGGGGATGCAGCTCAGTTGGTAGAACACTTGCCTAGCATGTATTGAGCATTTAACTCCAGCATCTCATAAAAGCAATGGTAGAAGACATGCCTGTAATCCCAGGACTTGGGAAGTAAGATTAGCCATTCAAGGTCACTCTCAGCTATACAGCAAGTTGGAGGCTAGCCCGGGATATGTGAGACCCTATTTTTAAAAAAAACCTCAAATTTTCTGATGTTACATTCATTTTCACTTAAGGCAGTTTTTCTTTTTACATAATCCTTAAATTATTCTAGAATTTATTATCAAGAATTATAAAAGTAGACTTAGAAGTGTTTATGAATAGAGCCGATGGATGCTCTTTAAGCAATATCCCAGAGATTGTTAATATTCTTTCACCTGGGATGGCTCTTCAATATCCAGGGAGAACACTGGGATAAACATACTAAGAAAAGCATTAGAAAATATGATTCTTGCTCTAGATACAACTTATAAACCAACCAATGTTGGCCTGCGCAGTAAGAGAGTGCCATGCATATAAACATGCACCTCTCTTTTGATCTTCAGGCATGCAAACAAACACATTCACACATCCCGTTTGGTAGAGATGAAGAGGCGGCTTCCCCAAAGGCAGACAACCAAAGCATGTCAGAAATCAAGCCCAGAGCACTTAGAAAACGGTTAAGATTCTTGACATACTTGAGCAGGACCCATCTGGCATAAGCATGTATCCGTTGAGACAATAGCACTTGTAGCTGCCGAAAGTGTTCATGCATCTGTGCTTACAGGGCCTCGGCTTCAGGCCACACTCGTTTAAATCTGTAAGGAATGAGGATTAACACAGGGAAATCACAAAACTCACCATTGATGGAAAATGTTTTAAATGCTTCTCGATATGGAAGATTGAAGGCAAAAAGCAAAACAAAACAAAAATTCAATAGGAGCAACCAGATGTTGCCGGGACCATTATGGATCTCTGATCCTAGGGAGATAGATGGGAGCATTCTCCTCATAGATGTCTGTCTGCAGTCTCCACAAAGAGCAGTACCTTCACCACAAATGGTAGGGGTGTTCTACTGTCCCTCTACCTAACCGACACTAAGCTTAAGATACCTGTGTCCTGCCATCGGGATCACTCGTGACAATGGATTCTACCAAAGGGGATATTACATGACACTTTTCACTTCATGGAGACTGTGCAAACATTAAGACATTAGAATGATTTGACCTTTTCAAAGGACAGCTATGCTTTCAGAGGGAGAAAAATTACATGGAGCAGAGTGGACACCATCGTGAATTTTCTTGTTCAGTTTGATAAATTCTGTACTGACCTTGGATTAAAGAAAATTCAACTTCCTATTTTACGAATCCATTCAAATCACAAAACAAGATTTTAAAGCCTTCTAATATATTTTCATTCATTTGGCAGCTAAGAGGAGCATGTGGGAACACTAAGGGACAAAAACATCATTACGTATTTTATGTTTATTGGTTTAAATATCAATGTGAAATTAGTGAACTCCAAAATATAAAAGTTTTCCAGCACAAAGTGAACACTGCCTCAAGTTAACATAAAATTCAAAATGACTTAAAGCACTGAAATAGTAAGGCCCATAACATAGGCCTCATTAAAAAGAAATGTGACCACGTTTATTTCGTCTAGAAACAGCAGCAGAAGTACCTGACTAGCATAATTTAATTATCAATTTATACATATCACTGAATAAAAACACAGATAATATATCCAGCTACAGAGCTGTTTCCAAATCTAACCACAATGACCTCTGAGCGGGTCATTTACTAGAGGCGAGGAGTGCTTCATGCAGACATCCACCGCATTTTAAAGTCACCAAATAAATATTACAGCTAAGAATATTTTCAGATCCTACTGATTTTCCAACTCGTTCTTTTTTCTGCCCTTACCCCAGTGGGAACACATGGCCAGCTGGGCAAAGTCTGGAGAGGTTAGATAAACATAGCAAACACCTTGGTCATTTCCTATGTTTTCTTCAATGCTTCGCTTTATTGTCTTTTGCCCAGTCAAAGGTTTTCAAAACAGAATCATATTTTAAGTATTTTTTAAAGAAACCTCTCTGTGCTCACAGAACATGCTTTATAGATTATCCTATCAAAAAAGTTGACTCCCCCTCTGTTGAATGAAGTAGCAATGAGCAGGGCTGCTTGAGGTGAAATTCTACTCCCTGTTTATACTCTTTTAGCTTACACTTGAAATTTTATTATACATTCGAGTCAGAGAAATCTTTCTTATCATCTAAAAGTTCTGTTAGCATCCTTAACATCACCCGTGCAGGGTGGCACTGGCCTTGACTCCCTGGAGAGAAGTGTTTAATCTGAGCATGCTATCAGACAGAATTGTTTCTTGGTCTGTGCTTGAAGGCATGCAACGAATCAGTACCTCAATGTAAGAGTGAGTTTGGTTCTGCATTTCCAGAGAGGGCTGTTTAAAGTATCAATTAAGATTCCCCAGTTTATTTTTAGAGAGCAACAGAAACTTCTGGAGGTTCTTTACCGGAACCAGCAGCTGTTTATAACCCCAGGCAGCTCATAAGCAAGGAGTATTTGATGCCAGTGGGAATCTATCCAGACATCACAGCCCTGGGTAAAGCTGGAGCCTAGGGAAGGCAGCGCTTCCACAGCCAGGCCCCAAGGCTGGTCAACGAGGCCCATTAGGAGACCTTTGGGAATCCAGGCTGGGTTGTGAGGGCTCTTAAAGACTGACTTTCACCAGGTTTATCTTTCCCTTCTCACGGGGAAAGTGCTTTGTGGTTAGGAATCTTAAAATCAAAAGGACATAACAACTTTTAAAAATGTGAAAATTACTCTTTGAAAAAAATAGGGGAAAGGAAGGAAAAAGAGCATCCAAGGGGTAAATGGTGAGGAGACGGTGGTTTTATCTGCTAGTAAATGCTACGCAAAAACCCACGCATGTGGGAAGCATCTTGAGAATGGCAGCCATTACTGGTCTGGATGAGGTTCCCTTGACAGGTGGTCCGTGTTACGTCAGTGTCCCCGGTGACTGCCTGGCCTCACCCCCAACAAACTTCACAATAGCCCTTAAGAGAGCCACTGCAGACACCACGAAACAGGGTTCTAGCTACCGTTCATCAACACTGGCCCAGTGGCATGTCCTGACGAGTAGGAACACCAAAGCTCCTGGCACTCTGTTGAAGAGCCTCTTCCCCTTCCGTTTTTTTCTAATGTTTCTAGCCTGTAATCATCCCACCTTACTTTTTTTGTTGTTGTTATTGACCCAAAGCCTTACAAAATGCAGTTACTGTGTGTTGCTTCTGGTAAATGTGATATTCGCATTTGTATTTTGTCAAATTAAGTCAAAAGTTTCAATGACACTTTCAAACTGTGGCAAATGAGGACAGAAGCATGACCTACTCCTCGTGATCCTCACTGTCTCAGAGAAATATTAAATGCTGACAAGCGAGTCTAGGAAATAAATTCTAGTGTCTTTAGTTTACTTTAGTCTTGCCCTGGAAGCATAATATATATATTATAGTATATACTATATATATATACTACAAGGAATACTAACATGCACATATCTTACAGTAAAGGATATAATCTTGTTCCTTACATTCAAACACCTTAAATATTATGCATATAATTCATGAAGAGCATTGCCATCAGGGGTACATTTAAGCAGGTTGTTGGACTTGGGAGGGGGGTAAGGTAGAGACAGGGAGGGGAGCTGTCCCACAACAGAAATGCAAGCTGCATAGCATCATTATTAGACTTCAGATCGAAGAGAGTCAGAAACTGAATTAGCATGCAGACAAAGAAAGGCAGCTTGGAAAAACTTGGAAGAGACTCCTTAAATAAGATAGCCACCATAGTTTTACAGAAAAACCACCATCCATTCATTCTAATGTATTTGGACTGTTTTCCTTTTGATGCTTAAAATAGATGATGTTTCAGAAACCAAGCCTTTAAAACTTTATCTCACTAAAAGGCCATAGGTGAACACATGTCCAAATAGCAAGGGCCATGACTTTCTCCTAGTGATGACCAACTCTAAAGTGAACACCATTGTCCTGGCCCCTAGTGCAGTACATGCAGTTTACATCAGCAGAGACAATAATTATTCATAAACTGTTTCCGTAGCCCTAAGTTCTTATGCCTATGAGTTGGTAAGGATAAAATCTAGAAGAACAGGAAAGGTTTTCTAACACCTTGCTCACCTACAGACTCCCGTCACCATGAAGATAGCAATAGTTTTGGTGAGGGACTCTCACACTGGCCCCACAGACAAGCAGGGCAGAAACTACTCTACTGTCCCCTACTACAGAGTGGTACAAAGGTCAGGCACTTTAAGCAGGTTGCCAATAAATGACTAATTAGAACCAGAGCTCAACCCTTTTGACATTACACAGAATGTCTAACCAAAAAGAAAGAAGCAAATGTGTGGTTCGATTTCTAAACAAGCCTAAAATTCCACTTCCCAGACAGTAAGAGAAGAAGGGCACTAAACTACTTTCAAAATATCCCTGGAAAAAAGTCATCCAAACCCATAGCTTAGTAGAGGAACCTCTGATTTGGCCTACATATGAAAATGCAAACTATCATTCTATCTGATTTTTGGGAGGGGTTTCCAACTCAGAGAAGAGGAGGGAAGGAAATGACGTGATACAGGGAGAGAGGAGAAAGTGCCAGGTTTTCCGAGGCACAGAGAATCAGCAACAGCTCCCACGGCTTGCTGCACGCCACGTTTTCCAAGGCACAGAGAATCAGCAACAGGTGGCAGCTCCCACGGCTTGCTGCACATGCTCAGGCTGAAGGCTTGCCACTTCTGCACTAGTCTTCAGGCGTTTGCAAGAAGTGCAGGAAGCCGTGCAGGTGGGAGAGCGGCCACCTGAGACAATGTACGCTCACCCCTTGAAGGTACACTTGTGGCTTGATGATCCAAGGGTTGGAAAAGAGGCTGTTCACTGCCTTGGTCAAGAGGAGTTGGGTGGAAGTGCTCATCTTCACAGCAGGGAGAAGGTAATTAGAGTCAGCTTTGAACTGATGTCATTTTTAGCCCTAAAAATCTTCACAAGTATATATTAAATAGTTATAAAATGTTAATGGAGCTTAAAAGGACTCTTTGGCTACTTCACAAATAATTTCTAATACTGCTTTCTCTTTTTATAAAAAATCTCTTTCTGAAAATGTATGATACTCATTTTCCTTTACAAAGAAAAACTACAAGTTAATAATCCATCATTTTCATACCATTAAAAACCAAAATAAGATTAATGTGTGACTTTCATCATCAACAGAAGACATGAAACCAAATAATCGACTAACCTTGTTTAGAATATTAAATTTTAAACGACCAATTTAAGACTTAACTTACATTGTTACATTGCTAATAGTGGTTTAAAATATTCCCAAGTAATGCAAATGCGTATTTGCATAAGGGCTTTACCTAAATCCTAGCATGACAGCTCATCATGCCTTCATTCAGAAGTACAAACGTATGACATATTTGGTTCACATTTCATTAGGATGCACACTAGGAGCTTTATGAAAAACCATGTTAACTGTTGCCATTGCTATTTAACAAAACATGAGACAGCTGGGCTCAAAGCAGAATGTCAAAAGGGCAGCTTTTTTGCTTTCTGCTTTATAATACAGTCTGTTTATCAGCCACTTAACTTTCCAAATCAAAGGCACATTTGTTTCTGGGGTTGGAACTTTTAAAAAGCAAAGTTGTTGATAACACCATAGTTAGGGCAAAAGCACTTACAATTGTGCTGAGCAAGGCATCTGGCATTCTGCGGTAAGCAGGATACCCAGACTTAATGTCTGCTGCTGTATGGTTCTCTGCTGTTCTTTCCCTGGGATGGGGAACTCAAAGTATGGAACAGAAACCAAGCCAAAACACTAGTAATTAGTATTTATAGAGTGTTTCTTTTGAAATTAGTGTGAAACATGCATTCAGAATATGCATATATTTAAAAATATATGATGGCATGATATCTTTACATGCTAAAAAGCACTCGCTAGTTGTAAAGAGATTATTTGTAATCATACTCTTTCTTGAATGCGAGTGAATTTGTTTGGGTAGAGACACTTGAGAAGGAAACAGGCACAAATAACCTTATTGGAGAATAATATTAAATGATTAAACATGATCTTATCAGAATTTGAGTTAGAAATCCATCCACTGTGAAAGGCAGCATGTATCTTATAGAGAATGCTAATTATTTCAAAACCATAACTATGTACCTCATATTAGAGCAGCAAATCCAGAACATGACTCAGAAGGGAGAGAAGGCACCAAGAACAGCACATGCGTGGAGGGGCTGCTGAATCCAACCAGTTGGAAGCTTGCTCTGCACTCTGGTTGTCCCCAGGCATCCCTCAAGCCCCGGGTCAGTGTCTGTTAATCATTCAAGCTGTTTATCCCAGCTTTGCAGGGCTGCTCCTCTGCAGGTATGACTTGCAGCAAGATTGCCCTACCCCAACGCCTAACTTTAATCACATGCTAATTTTCAGTTATGCGAAATTGTTTCAAATCTACTGCTTCTTGACATTTCTTTCCTTGAGAAAAAAAAATCTTTTGATTTCTTGCATGTCTGAGGCTTGATTTCCACTCCATGAAAATGGGTGGGCCTAGATAAAGGCCGTCAGTTAGTTTATTGTATGGTAATCCTGCACAGTTTGCTCCAGTAAGGTTCATAGGGACTTCAAGCTGAGCTCACACTTACCCACAGCTTGCAACTGACAGGGATGGGTGCATGGATCCAGACTGTGTACGAAGTGATACCAAAAATCAGGTCCCTAAGACTCTTATGACCAAGAGCCATTGTATGAATCGGTCATTCCATTACTGATGGGTACTAGCACCTGTCATTCCTGTGCTAACAGTCCTCAGGAACCCAGAAACCAGGGAGACTGCAAGAGGTCCTGACTACACTGGAGTGTGGCTTGCCTTCGGGGTGTGCCATGACTGCTATTTTTCAGGGAAAGTGAAGTCAGACACATTTTAAGACACACAGGCTTATTTATTTTTTCAAGTAAAATATGACTCTTATCTTTTAAAATGAACGTTAACATTAGCTTTTCTCTAGTTTTAGCTTTTTAACTCTGGTAGTTGAAATCTGCAGGTACGATTAGTTAAGAAGATGAGCTTGGGTAGCTTGTTAGGAAGAGTGAAAGAGTCATGTCTCCAGTTACAATTTTTCACTGAAAACCAGCATAGGAAAATAAGCATGAACTATATGAGCCACAGCTCTAAATCAACACACCTTTTCTCTACCAGTTCTGTGAACTCAGGGTAGACAATTAATACCCACGACTTATAGTCTCTCCAAATGAAAAATGCCTATACACCTAATTATAACATACGGTACTCAACTTCTTAAAAGGCCTACAAACTCAATAGTGGAAAAACAAGAAATTCTGGAATTTAAGACTTCTAAAACTTTATTTATGCTTGTGTTTATTGTGTGAGTGCGTGCGTGTGTGCGTGCGTGCGTGTGTGTGTGTGTGTGTGTGTGTGTGTGTGTGTGTGTGGTGCTGGTACATGTACCATGGCACACGTGTGGAGGCCAGAGGACAACTTTGTAAATTTAGTTCTTTCTGGCCTCCTTTATGTGGGTTCTAGGGATCACCCTGGGGTCACCAGGCTTGCCCAGGAAGTGCCTTTATGTGCTGATGCCCCTCAGGGCCCCAGAATATAAGACTTATGCTACAGATAGAACACTTTGCTACTTCACACACACACTTTAATGAGTATCCATAAACACAAGGAAGGGAACATCCTTTAAGAAAAACGTATTTTCTAGCTGGGCAGTGGTGGCGCAAGCCTTTAATCCCAACACTCGGGAGGCAGAGGCAGGCGGATCTCTGTGAGTTCGAGGCCAGGCTGGACCAAAAGCCTCCAAAACAATACAGAGAAACCCTGTCTCGTAAAAACAAAAAAAATGTATTTTCTAAGATTTACCATTCTTCTTTCATAATTGGGAGAAGCGGCTATGAAAATGGTTGGGTGAGATTTTTTTTATATTTGTCGGGATGGAGGGGCCATGGTTTGCACACTGCAGTCTTACCTTGGTTGCAGGTTTTTCCAGCAAATCCGGGATGACACTTGCACTTGTTCGGCCCGATGCACTCTCCATGTTTGCACTGCGGCTGGCACACAGCTGTGAAAAGAGGACCCTGGGTGTCAATCTCAGGTCATCAGTGCACTTCCATAGAGTACCACAGTCACGGACCAGTGATGATGCAAAACTAAGAACTTACAATGAAATTATAAAACTGCTGCTCCCTTCCACTGTCCACACTACAAACATGCATGCAGGCTATGACGGTTTGAAGAGAAATAGTCCCCATAGACTCCAGTTTTAACATGTGACCCATAGTGAGTGGAACTATTAGGAGGTGTGGTCTTGTTGAACTATGTGTGGCCTTGTTGGGGGGAAGTGGGTCACCGTGGAGGCAGGCTTTGAGGTCTTATATGCTCAAGCTACACCCAGTGCGGCACAGTGTCCTTCAGCTGCCTACAGATCAAGATGTAGAACTCTCAGCTGCCTCTCCAACACTATGTCTGTCTGAATGATGCCATGTTTCCCACCATGATGATAATGGACTATATACCTCTGAACTGTAAGCCAGCCCCCATCAGATGTTTTCCTTTCTGAGAGTTGCCATGGTGATGGTGTCTCTTTACAACAATAGAAACCCAAACTAAGGCAGAAGTTGGTACCAGAGAGTGTTATTGCTGTGATAGGCCTGACCATGCTTTTGTTTGAAAAAAATGTAGATTTTGGGACCTTGAATTAGGAAAGCAATTGAATGCTTTAAGTGTGGCTTAATAGGTCATCCTAGTAGGAACATGGAAGACAGTGGCATTGATGGTGATCTGAAATGTAAGAGCCCAGTTCAAGAGGTTTCAGTGGAGAAGAATGTTAGCATGTGGCCTAGAGACTGTTTATGTGATAATTTTATGAAATATGTGTCTGCTTTTTGCCCTTGTGTGAAAAATCTTCCCAAGACTAAACTGAAGAGTTCTGAATTAATTGCTTTGGCAGAGGAAATCTCCAAACAGCCCAGTACCAACTCTGTCTTGTGGTTGTTAGTGTTAACTCTAATGAAGGTCTATAATGAAAAGGAGCAAGTTGAGCAAGGAAAGTTACAAAATGAACAATATAAGGAGAAAAGAGGTATCAGAAGTGTAATGGAGCCAAATCCTATGTTCAAGGAGATAAAAAGATTAAAGAAAATGCTGGTGTTAAATGACATAAAGGTGACCTCAGGGTAAGATCCCATCTAGCTAAGCTCCAAACTTAGGAAAAGGAATTAAAGAAAAGCTTAGGGCTGGGTGTGGTGGTGCACACCTTTAATCCAGCTTCTCTAGAGACAGAGGCTAATGCATCTCTGAGGTGGAGTCCAGCCTGTAATCCAGCTTCTCTAGCGACAGAGGCTAATGCATCTCTGAGGTGGAGTCCAGCCTGTAATCCAGCTTCTCTAGCGACAGAGGCTAATGCATCTCTGAGGTGGAGTCCAGCCTGTAATCCAGCTTCTCTAGAGACAGAGGCTAATGCATCTCTGAGGTGGAGTCCAGCCTGCTCTGTGGATTGAGTTTCAGGACAACCAACCTGAGGCAGTGAAGGGGACCATCATAAAAAGAAAGCTGGGGAAGAACAAAGAGGCTGTTCTCCAGACCCAGCAAGCAGTAGACCTTGGCAGCTTTAAAAATGTGGTTCTGGCTGCAGAGTCAAGACTACAAGAAGTTATGGATTCTCCCTATGAAACTAAGGAAAGCCACTGAGGCCAGGTGTGTAGCAGGAGTGACCCTGGGTAGAGGCCCAGAGAGACCAGTGTATGAAGTTATGAAAGTGAAGCCTAGATTTTCCTGGAGACCTCAAAATATTGGGGATGTCAGAGTCATGGCTGTACCTGCCGAGGACAGCTGCTAACAAGAAGAGGAACCAGCTCAAGAGAAAGAAGTGTGTTGCAGTCAACAAAGATGGAAAGAGCTGAATATCTGAAGAGGATTTGTCATATATGCAAATATGTTTACATATATCACTTGGGACTGAAAAATGTCAACCGAGGATACTACTCAAATGATTAATAAAGGTAACATAGCTTTACAAGAATGTTCATACACAATTTCAAAACTTATTCTCTCAAGTACACATCAACAAAACTTCGTCTGAAATTACTGGGTTTATGAGAAATCAATATAGCTTTCCAGGCTAGGGTGTGACTTGATGGTAAAAGACTCCCCTAGACTTCGGGAGACCCTGGGTTTGATGGTCAAATATGGCCAAAAAACCAAAGAGACATAAATTTCTTGTCAAATAACAAAATATTTATTTTATGGGCAATAATAGTCTGAGAATAAGTTAATTAAAAATGAAACAAGCTAAAATGAAGTTCTTCAACATTTCTATTAATATATATTTTCATCATCTTGATCTTTTTTAACCCTGATGTGCATTACAGTTTCTCTTCAATTTATAGTAACTTCCTGTACCTCAGCTAAATTGAAAGTTTCCAGTTTAACCTTATTCTTCTCTCCGTTTTAACCAAATTCACTTCTCTCAGGAACTCAAGTCTTCTCTCAATTTGGATAACAAATTGGATAAACAAGCAAGTTTACTCTTGTCTTGTGTCAGTGGTTTTTCATGGGTAGTCTTTGTATGCTCAGGACATCTAGCAATGACGGGAGATATTTTCAGTTCTGCTGGCATATAGGGCATACAGGACACCCACTGTGATCGACCTCCCACCCACAAACAAATTATCCAAAAGCCATCAGAATGTCATGGAACCAAGGTCTGGAAACACTATCCTACTATACCCATTATGTTTATGATGGTCAATATTATAATAGATGAAAAGTAGCAGTCAGCATGATTTCTGACTTCAATGATCTCACACTCTATTTAAAGAGACAAAACTTTTTCATGTTCCTTTTTTAGATTTATTTTGCTTGTGTGTGTGTGTGTGTGTGTGTGTGTATAAATATGTGCATGTGTGAATGCAGATGTCTGAAGAGTCCTTTAGAGTTGGACTTATAGGCTGCTATGAGCCACCTAACATGGGTGTTGTGAATGAAAGTTGGGTCCTCTGCAAGAGTAGTCCACACTCTAAAAACACTGAGACATCATCACTCAAGCATAACGTATGAGCATAATGGTGAGCAAATATGGGCTTGAACAGAAAGCCTTCTAAAAACACACGTGCTGCATCTTGAAACATGGGAACAGAGAAGGAAGATCCCCCATGGAGAAGAAAAACATGTAGCAAAGTTGACCATAGATTGGTGGCAGGTCACTCAGGAGGCCGGGGTAGCTACCAAAATGAGCAAATGCTCATGAAAGGACAGGAAGCAATTATCATACTTGCTATGGGATGGTGGTGTCCTAAATGTCCAAGCTGAGAAGTGTTACTCTGTCTGCAGGACATTCAAAGAAGTTTCTGATCAGAATTACTGCATAAATATTAAAGCTGTGAGTATACTGATGCAGCCACAGTATGCACAATGAACTGGAAATGATTCAGAGGCAAAGGAAGCAATATGACCAGAGACATTATAGAACAGGTCAGAGCCAGTCAACCACGATTTGTGCTTATGACAGGAAGAGGTGAGCTGTGGTAACCACCAAGTGAAAAGCAGAGAGGCATGATCAAGGGTAAGACAGTCAGCCATGCCTCTGCCTTCCGAAGCATTGGACACCTGTACCTTCCCATACCAGCCTGTCTTTGCTCCATTCTGGAACGTGTTTCCAGTTTCCTCTCCAGCATGTCCTTTGAAACTCCTGCAAACCAGCATACACATATGTTTGCTTCCTACATCCCCCACTCAACCTCACCTGGCATTCCACCAGCTTACTCGCCAATGTGACAGTCAGCCGGTGGTTATGCCAATTAGGTCTACTGACTACTAATCCTTAGTGTTGATGCAAAGCCTACAAAGAGAGGATGGGCAGAACACAGGGAAAAGAACTCCTTAAACTCTGAGGTCAGATGTGGCATACATTCAAAGGGAAGGAAATGTGTTCATCTCCCTGAGACGTAACGAACTTTCTAGAAAGCCTTCCAGCATCACCTTCCGGTGAATAGTAAGTAATTTCTACTAAGTGGAGTTTTTAAGGGAAGTCCTCCAAACAAGGTTCTCTGCAATATCCAGGCCTCATCATCAGGAAATGCAAGTTTGAAAAATAATCATTTGAAAAAGGAAACATTTCAGGGCTGTTAAGATGACTCAGCAGGCAAAGGGTTACTGTCACCAAGTCTGACGACCTGAGTTTGACCTCAAGGGCCTACATAGTAGAAGGAGAGAACCAACAACTCCCATGAACTGATGTCTGACCCCCATACACACCATGGAACAAGTGCTTGTACACGTGTACGTGAATAAATATTTTAGAAACCTAAAGAGAATTATTCCATTGACTGTAACATTTTTGTATATGAATGTAACCTAACTAAGTCTCCTGCAGTACCCAGAATGTTATATTTTCTTTAAAAAGTAGCATTACATATTCGTTACATGTAAGTCAAAATGGTAACTTCTTAGAACAACTGAAATTGGAAAATGTCTGTGAAACATATGGAAAGGTACCATTAAAACAGCACTTGCAAACCTGAGGTTCACTCAGAGGAGGGCACTTTCTGGTACAAACTTGCGGCCTCCGGGTTGTATTGTCTTTGACCTCTGACCAGCTGATGGCCATCCATTCATGGTTTTCAGGTGCTTTCTTCTCACAAAGGGCTTTTATGTCCTCTTTCCTCTTTTCTTTGTTCTCAGCAGGATGCCCTAATCTTAGGTCCATCAAATGTACACATTCCAAGGGGTTAGGGCTGCTAATGGTTCTGCTAAGTTTGGGGACTCAGTATTTTAAAGAAAACTGCTGATGTATTTCTACCTGATGTAACCAGCAATTACAGATACCCAGCAGCTATTAAAAGTGTATTTAAAAAAAAAAAAAGCTATTAGGAGGTACTAAAACAATGCACATAGAGCTGATATAATCAATTATTTTCTTCACCACAGAAAATTAAAACTCCTTACACAATTTTTCATAAAAGGACTTTCCCCCAAGATCTTGGTTTTGGGTCTGGGATAGAGGTCAGTAAAAACTTATCAAACAACATTTACTACACTCAATGTATTATACTACCAAATATG